AGGTTTCCTTTGAAATAGGTTGCCCCCCCCCCCCGAAGAAGAGGGTCCCACTCTCACTACCTCTTGGAAACCAGTAAAAAGTCTTTTCAGAAGACTTTTGATTCGTAACGGGACGACCAGCGCTGGTATTCATTTTTTCAGATTGGGCCTTCAGGGATCGTTTTAGACGTCGCATCCGTACCTGGCTTAGAGCTGGCTCGGATCGAAGCAACAGGTAAACGACCCAATGAAAAATAAAAACGAAATGGGACTGAGAGTGGGGCCTTCTATTCAGAAGAACGGAGCCCCAATCTTGCGGCGTGATGGCGTCCCCAGAAATGACGCCGCTAACAGTACGGTGGAGACCCCAGCTGTCAGTGGCTGGCTGTGAAGCATGCTTCAACCCAATGTATGCACAAGGTCTGTTCTGAACTGGAAGCCCCCGGTTGCATTATAAGAGAATAATCTTGGGTATGTCAGATATCCAATCGAAGAGAAGCTCTGGGGCTCAGGGTTGAACTGGGGAGTCCTTGGGGCTCTCTGAGCTCGGTGGTTTTCTTGCAGACGTTTGATGACCCGACTAGGGAACATCATCAGGGCTGGGGAGGGTGGGGTTGCTCCCTGTTTGTAGTAATCAGTACTCTAATCCAGGAACTAGCAAGGAGAAAAACGCACCCCCACCCACACTGGTGGGGCAAGCGACTGCATATAAACAGGGAGCAAACCCCACCCACACCCACACTGATGATGTCACCTAGTCGGGTCACGAAACGTCTGCAAGGAAACCACCAAGCTCAGAGCGCCCCAAGGACTCCCCGTGTCCACGATGCTCTTTTTCTCACGGATGCCCCCTCCTGTTTCTCTGCAGCAGCCATGCAACCTTGGGCGCTTTTCCCGATCGTGGCTTGCGGGCTCCTGATGCTGTGCCCCCAGGGCTCCCCCACCAGCATGGGCCACCCTTTGCCCAAACCCATCCAAGGCGGATACACCCCTCACCCCTTGGGGAGCCATATCCCGATATCCGGGCAGGAGAGGGCCTCCCCTCCGGAGTACGACGACTACGACTACGATTATTACGACAGCCTTCAGGCGACCGATCGCCCCCCCCATGGCTCCCCACAGCCGCTGCCCATTTGCGCCTACGACCGCTGCAGACACCTCCAAGTGCCCTGCTTCGAACTGAACCGGGTCAGCCCATGTCTGTGTCCCGGGGTCACTGGCCCGGACGTGGCCCCAGCCGCCCCCCGCCTGCGGGCGGTCCACGTGAGCGAGACCAGAGCCAGCTTCCACTGGTGCGCCCCCTCATCCACGGTTCAGGAGTACCGCCTGAAGTACCAGGCCATCGGGCAGGACTTCATTTGGGGGCCGCCTCTGAACGGCTCCTTCCGCTTCACGGTGGCTTCCCAGCTCGTCCCCAGCACCGAATATCTTTTCTGCGTCGTGGCGTCCAACGGAGCCGGTTCCAGCCCGACGGACGACGGCGTCCAGGACCACGGCCCTTGCCGGCTGGTCCGGACCCCCGCTCACCAGATGACCTACATCTACATAGCGGCAGGTCTGGCCTCGGCTCTGATCCTCGTGGCCGTTTCAGCCTTGCTATGGCATTTCTGCTTCCGCAAAGCCAAACCCGTTCAGCACGGGTCCTTGGATAACATCCTGGACGGAGAGCTGAGTTCGGGACAATCCGGGACCGCCAACAGCTCTTTCCGGACGGAGGAACGGCTGTGATGGGGTCTCCCCGGCCTTCACTCTCCCAATTTCTACTCGTTTTCTGTCGGACGTTCACGGACGATCTCTTGATTGGGGGGTGACGCTGTGGGGCAATCATGGAGGGGGCTGCCCAACAGATGGAGGTCCTGTGCGTGAACTTCGGAGCAAAGCCTCCCTCTCCTGCTAGACGACCATTTTTAAATGGGACCGAAGAGGGAAAATAGTGAATTTATGTTGGGACTGATTCTCTTTATTGATTAATGCAATTGATTAATGATCAGGGAAGGGGAAAGGAAGGAGAAACGCCAAGGGGTCTTGGTTCCCCCCCCCATTTTTTCGAAGGCCTCCTTGGCCTGAAAAAGTCCTGCTTTCAGGGTCCTGGGTCCACGGCGGTGGGGTGGCGGGGACCCTTCTGCCAGACCTCCATCCTGTTCCACGAAGCAGGTCTCGCGTCTGAATGGTAAGGAGCGCAGATGCCACCCCACTGATGAGCAAGCTTTCTTTGGGTGCCTCTGCCCTGCATGGTCTTCAACGGCCCGGGAAAGGAAATGCCCAGGTCCAGAGGCAGCCCTGGGCTGGGCATTTGTGGAAGTCTTCCTCTCTTCCCCTACTTAGGGGGAGAAACAGATTTGTGCAGCAGATGAAGAAATCTTAACGTGTGTTGAGATTTTGCAGAAAGAATGCTGTTTTTTTTTTAAATGCTTGTTCTGGACAAAGAAATCATGCCTCTTGCCTTCCCTTTCCCTTTCCCTTCTTTCCTTCTCTCCTTCCTTCCCCTCCCTCCCTCCCTCCCTCCCTTCCTC